AATTATGGATTTTGAATCAAGTGAAATAATGCACAAGCCTTTAGAACAAGTTTTGAATAATAATTGATGATGGTTCTAGTGGTTCAACTCCAATCCATGCCTCTCTAATTTTGGACGCCCTTTTTAATTTTAGACCGTTCCACATTAAAGTAAACCTATTTAATTGTAAATTTTGTATTATTTTTTAATTACGGGTACGGGACCTTCTTCCCCACCAATTCACCCCCTAACCCCACACCGACAAAAAAAAAAAAAGGTTTTTGGACCACTCCACATCAACGGCCTTTCTAATTTTGGACCATTCCATATTAAAGCAAACCTATTTAATTGTAAATTTTGTATTATTTTTTAATTAGGGGTATGGGACCTTCTTCCCCACCAATTCACTCCCTACCCCCACCCCAAAAAAAAAAAAGAAGACTTGTAGCTCTTAAGCCGTGTTTGTTTCAAAACCTGAATCGAGAGGATGAATTGTCCACTCCATATATCTGTATGAGATTAGCCAATTCGGATCGATCCCAATCTATGATCCAAGAGATATTAAATAAATAAATAAATTAATTAATTAAACCAAAATTTAACTAGGGGTTTATATGGAGATTTAGGGGATCTAAGAAAATGATAGATAAGCATAAACGATGGATATTTTAGAGGGGGAATAGGCTATTATACTACTAATCCATTTTTGATGTAGATCAAAGATTCTCAATTGGAAAGAATGAGTTTTAAAAACATTGCTCTCGAGTTTTCATAGAGGGAAATCTTTTTAGGACGAAGGGAATGGGAGGTGCGATGGAAAAGGAACCCACAAGGAATGATAACAGATTTAATTAATTAACTAAAGCCACCGTGCATTAAATAAGTACATGTATCGATGGCCTTTGAATTATTATAAACAAGAGACACACTACATGATAACAAATCACGTGCTGGGCTGGCGGGGCATCCGGATCTCATGAGACTTTATTGTCTTTTTTTTATTTTTTATTTTTTATTTTTCTCTTTTTAATTTAAAAAAATATTTTGATGGGGTTGCAGCCCCTCAAGATAAGTAAAACTTCATATCAAAACTAACTAGAAATGATAATTTCAATATCAAAAAATCTTTAAATCAATCATATGGGCTTTTACCATTATAGTTGTATGAAAAAAATTAGGACTTCAAGCTTTAAACAGAGTATAACACATTATCTAGACAGTTTATTTCATTCCAAAATTTTTTTTTCATAGATTTGTCTGATTTTTTTAGCTTCAAATTTAATAGTTGCTGTAAAAAATCGATTTTAGAGCCAACATGTTTCCGAAGGAGGATTCGAGATGAGACTTCAATTTGTTTTCATAAAGCTTGGGTCTAATCGAAACTACATGAAATAATTCTCAGCCTTTCTCACCAAGTAATATCTACATTTTTCAAATAATTCATTAAAATGGGGCAGGATAAGATAGAATTAAATGGAGGGAAGGAATAAATAAAAAGAAGAATTGACTTTTAGCGTACCACGTGGGCCACGGCTTCCATATGCTACGCTCCTACAGTAAACTGCATTGTATTAGCATGTGCTTTGCAAAACTGTGCAACATTCAACGATCAATCACATAAATTGCACGACGTAATTTTGGTATAAGAAATTCTTAAAATACAATTACCTAAAAAAAATAAAAAATGCTCAATAATTTATTTTCATCTCTAATTATAAAATTTTAAGATCCAAAAATAGTTCAAATTAAATAGATTTATAAACATATAAAAATTTTAAAAATAGACGGTCTAAATAATACATTGCAACATATACTATTTTTTTTTTACTCAATCGCTTATTTATTTATTTTCACATATCCATATATCAAAACAACCTTTTAAAATAGATTTATGAAAAGCACCTTAATTCTATAATTAAATGTTGCAACCTTACATAAAATATTTTTCATACATAAATAAATATTGTACAGACACAATCATCATCACACCCCACCCACTTGAAGTTGTTTGCCGCCATATTATTATTATTACTATTTAACAATAGTAAAGCCATGAATGAATGACAAAATTAACCCCCCTTTAATGTACAAATGGCTCCCACATCCTTTCCCCTGGCTCTTCAAAAATGGTGTTATTGAGAAAAAAATCTTCTTAATTGACAACACGTGCAAACAACACGAGGGCGGCTGCAGTGAGGCTTTACCCATATTATGTGTATGTGTTCGCGGCTTTTATAGGACGCCTTAGCTGTTTTTTTTTTTTGCCATTTCATGGTCCAAAAAGATTGCAATGAAAATCAAATTGTTGTTATGTTCAGTGTTTCGAACCAAAATATTATGATGTTTGATCTAGATTTTTATCAAATAATCGATAATAATATGACATTAAGTACAACATCAACAATCATTTTTGTTTTATACGTTACACAAAATTATCTAAACATAAATAAGTATAAAAAAAAAAATATACCAGTTCATTAATGTTATAAAAAGGAGAGCAATAACTCACACTAGGTGGCTCATATGAAAGGAAATAATAGTTTTGTGATAGGAAGTCTAGTCAAATTTGGCTGGACACAGCTGTATTCAATCAAGTAACAAGTTAAGTCCTTACTTTAAAGTTTTGAGCAAAAGAAATAAACTCAACGGTTAAAATGAAAAAAAAAAGACTTTTGGTTTCTTTTATCTATGGGGAATTGGATCCATTTATTTTATACCTTCCCTTTCATTTAATTCTTCTCTCCTCAGTAATATGAGAGAGAGGGAGAGGTTTACTTGATGTTTAGAGAGAGAGAGGGAGAGGTTTACTTGATGTTTAGAGAGAGAGAGAGGTTTACTTGATATTTAGAGAGAGAGAGGTTTTGTATGACACGTATGGAAGATAACGAGAAGGATGTGTTGCTGTTTGATAGAGACATAGACGCAATGACCTAATTGGGAATGACGTGACGCAGTTGTCGGTGCCCACGTTCTGACACATGGGGCAGAGCGTTATAACGGCTATCACATTTGAGTTGTTTTTCTTTTACTTGATTAAAAATGTTATACCATGTGAGTAAATTGACTTTTTCTTTTACTTTTTTTTTTTTAAAAAAAAGAAGAAATTGACTCACTAGTTTTGCTCAGACTTTATAGGGATCCACCCTAATCAGGTAAGAAAACAATCACTCGAACCTTCCTATTTATTTAGACCTTTACAATGCTTTTGTTAATAACAAAATTGCACGAAAAAAAAAAGAAATGGACCTCTTGTACAAGTGGAGGGGGTCTCCAGGTTCATTTTGTAGTTAAAAAAAGGACCAAGGGTACGCTTGTCAGAGCATGTGCATGTATCCTTGTTTCTTCTTTTTTATTTTTTATTTTTTTTTTAATATTTAATTTTAAATTTTTAAGTGGTATGAGGTACATTTCCCTTTATTACTAAGAGATTGTGGAGGGAACAACTATATAAGGATTGGCTTTCATTTTGTACTATGCTGCAGAAAATGAGCAATCAGGGGATGCCTTTTTGTACTGGTCCCTTGTAAGTTTATCAACACTCGACCTCTTCTTCATGATAAGGAAACAATTTTTTTTTTTTAAAAAAAAAACATAAGAATTTTCTCCTTTTTTTTGGGCTAATTAAAACGGCCAACCTAAACAAACTTTCTTCTCTTTTTTTTCTTTTTTCTTTTATATCAATACTTCCATTATTTTTATTCACTCCTAAAAAAAAAAAAACTCCTCATCCACAAATCATTCCTTTCTTGTTTACCCAAAATGTTATTTATATATAGACAAACAAGAAATCACATGAAATGTAGATATATACTAAGTAAATACAATTATAGCTTGTTTACGTTTCTTTTTTTCCTTTTTATTTGAACTTATGAGATTCTTAAAAGAAAAAGTGTTTGGTGAGTCAGCAAACTCAGTATTACTACATGGTCCCCCTGTAAAATATACCTTACCGCAAAAGATGTATTTTCAATCCAAAATTTTAGAGTTGGACAATCAATCTCTAATAATGATCTCAACGTGGTATGTTATTTTTTTAGTTCCTTTATTCAAATTTATTTTAACTTTTAGTAGATGTAACATTTTTGGACATCCATCACATAAATGGACGGCACCGCACGGTAACAGGTTAGGTGACTGGGCGTAAAGTCTTCAAAGACAAAGGAATCCAATGATACGTTAAATATGTGTCTAATAACAGTTGGATAGATGTAACATGTCTTTCTTTCTACCGATTGCACGCATCTCTTCTTTTCAAACCTGAGGAAAATGACGCGTGTTTTCGAATGTGATGAACGTTAACTAATTACATTCATTTTTTCTTCTCTTGAAAATGTAGAAATATGGGAAGTCATGAAAACCAGTAAAGCAAAAGAGAGAAGACAAAATGGTAAAGACAGTGAAATGACATCAATTTGTAAACCAAATGTTCAACTCTGCTTATATTAGAAGACATTTAAAATAAGCTGAGGCATCTAGAAAATCAGTACTTTTAGCTCAATTTCTCTTTTAACAAGGAAAGGATAAAGGCACGGTATGAAGTAATGACAGATGTAGGGGTGGCAATGGTCCCCGACCCGACGGCTAGATCCATATTTGGTTATGGTGGGTTGGGTGGGGTCCAAATCGAGGCTATGTTTATGAAAATATATTTAAATAAATATTTTAATTTTTTGAGTTGGGTCCAATCGGGTCCCACATTATATTTTCGGGTCAAGTGACCCGACCCCTAAACTAATATAGATATATTTTGTGATTTAAGATTAATAATATAGGATATGGGCTCATAGGGGAAGATAAAGAAATGGAAGAGAGGCCTAGTTTAATAATGAGTAAAAGGCAGCATTAAATATTTAATGGGGCAGGTGAGGCTCCCTATGGTCCAAAACGCATCCAAAGATTCTCTCTCTAACATTATATTAAAAGAATGCAATTAAGATTTAAACATGTAATTAATAAAAGTAGTGGTTCTAGGAAGGGTCCACTTTAACGGACCCTCTCTCTCTATAAAGCCCAAGTTGTATTGGGAGGGACACAAACCTGCTCCTTTGCTTCACAGGCAAAGCGAAGCTTCTTCATTAACAGTAGAAAGAGGAGGTGCTCATGCTGCCAAGACCAGGCGGCCCTCCAATGGGGGTTCGTCTTTTCCCCATTGCGGTTGCGGCATGGCTTGTGGCCGTTTCTACTTCTTCTCTGGTTTCTGCCGACCCCTACATTTATGCTTCTCCTCCTCCACCTTACGAGTACAAGTCGCCGCCTCCCCCGCCTGTTGAGAGCGAGCCACCTTACCTCTACAAGTCTCCACCTCCACCTTCTCCTTCACCACCACCGCCTTACGTCTACAATTCACCTCCTCCACCGCCTGTTAAGAAGGAACCACCTTACATTTACAATTCACCGCCACCCCCATCACCTTCTCCTCCTCCTCCATATGAGTACAAATCACCACCACCCCCATCCCCTTCTCCTCCTCCTCCATATGAGTACAAGTCACCGCCACCCCCATCTCCTTCTCCTCCTCCTCCATATGAGTACAAATCACCACCACCCCCATCACCTTCTCCTCCTCCTCCATATGAGTACAAATCACCACCACCCCCTGTTAAGACAGAACCGCCTTACCTCTACAAATCTCCGCCTCCACCATCTCCCTCACCACCACCTCCATATTACTACAAGTCGCCTCCTCCACCACCTCCATATTACTACAAGTCACCTCCTCCACCATCTCCCTCTCCACCACCTCCATATTACTACAAG